GGCGGGCGGCTGGGAGGGAGGAGGGTGGCGGGAAGCCGAGACCCTCAGCTCCCCTCGGCTCTTCCCGCGGCGGGCTCCGGCCAGAGCCGGCGGAGCTGCAGGGGGGCCCACCCGCTGTGAGGGGACAGGGCCCCGGCCCGGCCCGGCCCGCCGTGAGGGGAAGAGGGCTCCGCGCGAGCCCTCCCGAGGCGAGTGAGCCCCGTCCGTTGCTCAAGGCAGCGTTCGGCCTTAGGCGGAAGAAGGTGACGGGTCTTCCCTGTTGCCGGCCCCCGCAGGATGAATACTGATATTAAAATTATGAATCGTGAGGAGGGCTGCTCCCACTGCTCTCTGGAGAAGACTGTAGTGGTATGCGGTGGGTCCCCGGGGCAGTGTTATCCACCCCCTCCCCGACTGAGATATCTCCAAGGAACTTCGCTCCTGAGGGGCTAGCTCACAGTAAAAACTAACGAGGTTAGCTCAATTGCAAAAAAGGAGGATGAAGTCACTGGACATCCTGCGGGAATAACTCCTACACCTGCTTCAGAAAGATTTACGCTGTGTCATTAGGTGGAAGGGGGAAGGCTGCAGAAGGGCTCTGGAGATCACCAGACACGGAACTTTCTGAAGCTGGCGAGGGTTCAGTCTACAGAAAGAGTACAGTGCTGTATTCTCCATAAACATTCTACTTACCCTAGTCTCAAGCTGCTCGTGGGTACAGCGGGGAGGAGAATTGGGCTTGGTCATTGAGGGTATATATTTTAGCTCTCAGGGTCCAGAAGAAACCGGTTTCCTCCTTCCTTCCCTCCAGTTTGCAAGGTGAATATTGGTCCTGCCTGCAAATCTTCAGGAGACAGCAGAAGAGCTTTATCTGGAAGTCTAGAGGCAAAGACCTTCAGTGCTCTAAATTACCCAGGGCTTGATAAAACAGTAGGTGTAGAGCCTTTCTCAGCATCTGCTATTAGGGCCAGACTTTTACTGATGGACAGTACTAGATAGCACCAACGTCTGAAGGGCAAATGCATATATAGCCAGGTAAATAAGGAAACTAAGGTCTTAAACACAAATCTCATCAGAGAAGTGTATTATGAGGTAATTTAACATCCTCTTAGGTTGCTGTCCTTTCCGTGAATCAAGTTATTAACACATAAATTATTGTGATTAAATGATTATTTTGCTTTGCTGTAGGCTTTGCATGATATTCTACCTTAGCAAACTTTTCAAGTGGATTGTAGTAATGTTTTTCCTGTCAAAAATGGATTAGAAATAGATTGGGAGTACATTCTGAAGAAATACTTCGTTCTATTGCTAACTCTCAGAAATGTCCCATATCTTTCTACCACAGCTCATCTAATCTAGGTCTGTCAAAATTGATTCAAAGATGCTGCTGTGTGATGGCAGACTATATCAGGTATTAATCTGAGTTGAATTTCTCCTGTGTGGATGGCGTCCCTTAAAGCCATTCCCAGTGTTTAGACAGATTTGTGCCTGTATAGCCAGTATAGATGTCCAAAGACTGCACACGGAATCCATCAGGGATAATCTATTCAAGAGAGTTATTTACAGTTTTAGATCGTCAAGATTTACAAGTCAGTCATCCATGCTGTCTGCCCAAAACTTAACTGCCGTGTTAATCTGAGTGTAACTTTTCATTGTCTTTCATTTGCCCTAAGTGGATTTTGGTAGCTATTACAATAAGAGTCTTCATATGTTGCTAAAGCCACTTTTATTGTGTTCACGTTTAAAGTTTTCAGAATGACTTCCTTGGTTGACATGCCCTTGAATTATGAAAAGATGTTTGCTCATCGATTCACATCAGATGATGAAGAATACCAAGAATACCTGAAACGCCCTGCAGATCCCCCTCCTATAGTTGAAGAATGGAGAAGCAGATCTGGTGGCAGTCAGAGAAACAGAGATCGGTACCGATTTCTTTTTCTTTTTTAGTCTTGGTAGTTTCACAAATATATAGTTAAACGATCATTTGTTTCAGAAGAAAGATGGAATTTGTTTTGTTAACAGAAGTATCTTCTTGTTACTTCAAAGGTAACTGTTTAAGAGAAATAGTCTTCTCTGAAAAGTAATGAGGTTTTATGTTTTCTTTGTATTGGTAGTCAAAGTTTTTGCGTTGTATGTAAAAGTACTAAGTAATTTGCTTTTTAGTAAGGAATGAGCTGGAACCACCGAACCCATTGCCCTAGGGTTTGTTACAGCTCAGCCAGGAATGTTTTTCCAGAGGGGAAGGATGGGAGTTCTGCAAAACTAAGCAGCCTATCTTCTGTTGGATAATAACTGGCAGGAAAATGTGCAAAGGAACAGGCTAATAGTGTGATTATCTGTTGCTAGGTGTCCAGAAAAACATTTCATTTGTAACCTAAATATTTGCTGTACTTTGTTAATTAGCCTGTATTTCTTTTATCTAGTAGAAATGACTAAAATCCATCATCCAATCTGTCTAGCAAGTGCAATGTTATCTGCCTACTGCAAAGTATTTTGAATTATTTCTTCAGGATGTAATTGCAGATTTTTACTGAATTCTGGACAGTAACATCTGATTTTTGTGTGACTGAAAAACAATGATTACAGCATGTAGTATGTTTGGTAATACTAACATCAGCCTTTAATATAAAGTTGTAAAACTCCAGTCCAACTAACAGTTGGGAAGACTTCTTCTTAGCTAAATACCTAAGTAGGATTTGTACCTTATCTGAAGAAAAGGACAACATTCTAACTTTTTCTCACCCTAGAAGCTTGTCATTAAGTTAAACACAGATTCAGTTTCTACAGATTAAAAGAAAAGGTGATCGTTTAAGGAGATATTCTTACAAAACTTGGTGGTTCTTTGAACTGATGAATTCTTCTATCTACGGTCTGGTCACCAAGTGAACCGCATGTAAATGTTGTTTGTCTACACCACACCACTGAGATATCCAAAGAAAATGATTGTGAGGCAGCTCAAATGTTGATAGGAATAGAGATAACAGCTGAAAAGCCAAAATTTAGATGGAACAATGGCTGAATAGCACTGATAAGATACACCCTCTTGAGTATGGGAATCTACAAAAGACCATGAAGCAGTGGTAGTATGTATTTTAGGGAATATGCAAATTCCAGGACTCTATGCTGTTAGGTAGCTAAATTGTACTTAAGCCTGCTTTGCCACAGCTTTCAGCCATGAAGCTACTAGTTTGAACCTGGCTTCAATACAGCTATAGATGTATCTTCTGGTTGTTTTTCAGATATATGGTCTGTTTGAGTATCTATTCAAAGTTCCAGGAGTTCACCTAATGCCTGTGAATACTTTGTTAGGAAACAGACTATCCTTCCATCGCTTAGCAAACAGTGTGTTGGGTAGTAGTAAGAAATTAATGAATGATCTCAGATGACTGTAGATATGTTTGTTTTCATCAGTTTGTCATAAAAACAGATAAGAAATTGAGTGTATAAACAATGATATGACAGTTTTAATGAAAACTGTAAAATTCAAGAGTTCATTACCATTCGTCTTTTTAAACACTCACAATTTGTGTGAATCTTTGACATTTCTTTTCATTGCAGGTTTCAAGATGGTAGATATTTTAGAGGAGACAGATACAACTGGCAAGGTGACTATAGATCTAATCAGAGGCCAGAAAGAAGTTGGGGTAATAGCTACCAGCAGCACAGACAAGGACAATCGTACTCTTCCCACTATGGACAATATGGCTACAACTCCTACAACCCAGGGCCTCGTTACCATCCCTACTGATGATATTTGTGGTTTGAAAGCCCAGTGATTCTATGTAACAAATACAGTTAGATTTCAGTTTTCTTATTTTCCAGTTTTATAGATGACTGAAGAATCAGTATTACAGTCCATTGCTGTTTATCTGTAGTGCGAATTGAAAAAGGGAATACCTTTTATGAATAATAAAAGTGTATTATATGGAGTTTGTTTAGTCTGTAGATCTTAGATTAAATTTCTATCTCATTCTTTTGTCTGAATACATACTAGTAGACTTCTTTTCTTCCATCACTGAAATTTCTCTGTTACATTTTTGAAAACACAGCAGGTCAGGGGGAAAGAGCTGTGGTTTGTGTGCAGCCTGTAGCAGTGGCACATTGCCTTAAGATAGTTCTTTTTGAAAGTGACATATTGTGTCTTTCTCTGGAGAGAATTTCTTAGTTTGGCTTTTGATAGTGAGAAAAGCTCAGTTTGGTTTGAATTTCAGATGCCTTAAAACTGAGACGAGAAATGCTATTAGAGAAGTATTTTATGGGGTCAGCATAGTGTCTGTTGACTCAATGACTTCAATTTATTTGCAGTATTCCTCTTAAAACATGTTCTAAAAGTTGGAATAAAAATGAAGTAGTTCAAATATGTATCTTATTGTAGTAGTTCAGTGATATACAAGTTTTACCTTGAGAAGTGATATCAGACTTAGATGAATTTGTATCATCTTAAAATAAATTTGGTACGTGCATAACAAATTTTGGAATTCCCATTTCAGTAAAGCTGTAAAATTTTGATGATAATTATGATTAGTTTGTATGAAATACTTTGTGCATGTTATAGAAGAAAGGAACCATAATCAGTACTGTTCTGTACTTTTTTTGCATGAGAAAGTAGCATAAGCAGTGCAGAGTGTTATTCAGTTCTTAGAATTTAAGTTCTGTGGGGTTTTTAAGTATTCACACAATAAAGTATAGTTCTCATGTAAGGATGTTTCTGAATATTTGAACCTTTTGAAACAATTGCAACACTGTCACCTAGGCTGACAGCTGCACAAGAAGCAGTACTAACAGGTAAGTGTTAATACTGGACAGCTGTTGGTTTAAGTTAGAAGAATTGCCTACTCGGCTACAATCAAGAGGATAAGACACATTGTGATTAATTAGAAGTCTGGAGTGTTAATCCACTATCTTACATTCTCCTATAATGGGGTTCAAAGTGCTCTATTTCACCATTTACGTGATAAGCCAATTTGTATCAGGAGAGCAGTGCATTTCTTTGTACTTGACATTTTCTTCAGCTGTTGTACAGAAACACAGAACCATCCATGCTGACTGTTGTAAAAGTCATGACATTACATGATAAGGAGTGCAAATCAGTGCATCTTGATTTAAAAACAAAGAATAAATATAGAAGTCAAAAGCACAGTCTCCCAGCTCATAAGATGCTTTTAAGAGCTAAAGGTTATGTTTACTGTTGACCTTAGAAACACACACTATATGTAGCTTTTACATAGTCTGTGATAGAAAAGCCATGACCCAAGTGTCTCCACCTACCTGCTAAGCATTTCTGTTTTCTGCTTTTTATATAATATTGTTAACTCTGATTGATAGAGTTTCTAATATCCTACTCCCTGAAGTATTTGCCTTGAATTCAGTTATTTAACTTCAGAAATCTTTCAGCAAGAGGTTTGTTTTTCCTTAAGGAGTTCTACTGGATGAAACGCACCCTTTTTAACCCTCATTAATATGGCAGAGCTGTTACACTGGAGGATATAAGATCATGCAAAGTTCTGATCTGTGCACTATGGAGAGCCTGCAAGTTGTTATGGTGGAATTCCCTTTATAATGCAGAATCACATGCAAAGTGCCAGATATGCCAGACTCCCACCGCCAAGAAGGGAGTGCATCTTTTTCTGCAAAGAGCCTGACACTGCCAGCTATGCCACGGAAGTCAGGCTGTGCTAGGATGTTCTTCTTCCTTACCATCTGGAGTAGCATTTGAGGCTGAAATAAAACCTGGCAAAAGGAATGGATTCTCTCATCTGTTGCTTTTCCTCAAGCCCAATTACTATTTTATTTTTAGTGTCTTCCAGCTAGTGAATAAAGAATCTACAACACACTGTGACCAGATAGATTAGGATGGCTTAAGTGGAAGTTGTGACTTAGAATCACATATTTCATGATCTCAGCTCTCTTATTCTGAGTTTCTCAACTGCAAGACCAGGAGAGACACAGGCCAGTGCAGCTTCCTGGTTTCTGTTTTTACATTCTTGACTCCATCTTCCTCACTATTAGAGCTCTCAATTCAACTTTAAGGACGTGTGATTTACAGAACTTTTCCTTGGACTAATTATGGCAAGAATCTGATTTTTTTGGGGGGAATACATTTCTAAATAAATGCATGCCTTGCACTGGACAGAAAGGTAAATAGAATTCAAAATATATTGCCTCCAGCAGCTTCCACTTAGATGAATTAGTATCTATGATAAAGTCCAGTTTACTGTTTCCATCAAGCTAAATAAAACCAGTAAGTATTGCCTGCAATTACGGTTTGTGCATTACAGTGTGTTACAGATGATGAAACTGAAGCTCAGTAACTTTAACATTTGCAACTTCAAACACTACAGAAAGTGTTTGCTTTAACTATGCTGGAGATTGCAGGGTGAACATTAAAATTCAGTGTCTCGAATCTGACTAAGAGATCTCTTCCATCTGACATTTGCTCAGACAGCATTATTATCACCATGAATAAAACAAAAGAAAGATAAGTGTTATGTATTAAAAAATGACGCCACATTACCAAGAATTTGAACACCCCAGAAGTTCTGAATACGGCTCTTGCAGCAGTTCTAAATCCGTTCCTGAACACATACAGCAATTTTGTATGGACTGTTAATTGATGCTGAAGAATTATCATGCTAAATTACAGGTGCCATGGCAAACAACTAAGAAAACTCAGTAGCTTTTATACAATTTCTTAACTAGCATTTTAAAAAATGCTAAAGGCTTTCAAATCACAGCTAAGCCATTAGATACTTGAAGGCAAAAGAAAGTGCATAGTAAAAAAAAATAAAAATCTTAGTGTGATTTGTAAGATACAATTTTACAAGTGTTCACTGCTATTGAACCTCTATTTTATCCTAGCTTTGCAGCTGGGAATAGAAATGTACAGACGGGCTTTGAAAGTTTAGTTAGAAGCTGAACTACTTTCAAGAGGCTCTCTAGTAGAGATTTCAGACAGGGAAGACAAGTATAATTTCTGATACACATATAATCAATGTTTAACTTTTAGAACAAAAAAAATATTTAATCTACTGTTTAAATACATTTTAATATATTGCTGCAGTTATATATTTGAATATATTTAAACTTGTACTATTAATTTGCTAATAAATATTCTGCTTAACCAAGAAACATGGTCACATTTGCTTCTTATACTGAGATGTTGGAAGGAAAATTCTTTATGTATCAATTTTAAGCTAAGGTTTTGCCTGCCACCACCCCTATTCCTTAGAAAAAAAAATAAATCTCTGAGTTACACAACTCTGGGTGAATTTTGTTAGCTGATCCAGCTTGGGCAGTCACACCTTCTCTAACTCTGACAAACAAGAGGGGGTAGGAACATGGAGCAAGAAGGGAGGAAAAACAGGACTGCTCCTTACAGCTGCTACTGACCACCTTAGGAGCAATTCAACGAAACAGGACCTCCCTTGCCTTTCATTTGCCAATCAGGAAAAATTACTATAGTCTGTCCCTTTGCCCCTGTATGTTAGAAGAGAGCTATATAACCCTGCTTAAATTATGCACAGCGCTGATACTCTAATGACCAGAAGCTAAGCAAGATTATAGGGCAGATCAGGTTTCCCTGAAAGTACCTAGGAAATACGCAGCCTGATTTGAGACACATGGAGGTAAATCCTAGAGATCAAAACAAGAGCCCAGCAGCTCCAGCACTGCCAGGAGAGTAGACAGCAACTGTACTATGGTGGTGCACAATGATCTTGCCTCTCAGGAGGATTATTTTTTCATTAGGCCCCGCAGGCTGGAATTTATTTTTGTGTTTACCATGGCCTATATTTTTCTTCAGTAAAGCACGGCTGCGCTTAGTGGTTGTCCGTCCTCATTTGCTTATGCAAAACAGTGGTGTCAAAGTGTTATTTCTATACAGCTCACACCCTGACTTTTTAAGTACTCTGTCCTGTAAAAATGCAAATTTATTACAAGAGATGGTGAAAGCTGGTAAAAACTATGTTTTACTCTAAGTCTAATAAACACACAACAGGATAAATCATATCATCATCCCCAATGGTTACCTTTTGTGTTACTTGTGACTAGCAGGAATACAAACGAATGTTGTCTTTTTCCTAACACAGAGATGCTTTTTTTTTTTTTTCAAATAATACTTCAGCAGCTCAGTAACTTTTTTCCACAAGTATGGGCTGCCTTCTTTTTTTTTTTTTTTGCATATTGTGTAATTCAAACTTTGCTTCACTAATAAAAGAGACATCAATAACAAGTATCAAAGCTGCTTCTGCTCACTGTTTGAAGAAAAAACTTATCTATTCAAAAGATGAGTTGAAGTTAAGAGAACAACTTAGTTATTTGTTATAGAACTACAAAAATAACCAAGGCCCAACCTTATCCATAAAAGAAAGAATCTTCAAGGACTCAAGCAGAATCTTCAAACTGAAACATGTGACATGTTAAAAGAATGATTAAGACACTAAGCTTTTTCAAAGCTCTTGTTCAGTGTGAGGAAAGACAATTTGGTATTTATATACCCACATAAATTAAATACTTAAGATTATAATTAGTACTGTTCAGATAAAAGTTAAAAAACCAAGCATACCATAGGAAGTTTCACATAGCTTTTGGCCACCATGTTCCAAGTTTAGCATGATCAGAGCTGATCAGAAAGCAGGTGCTCTTTGTCCAAAGTCATGTCTGAAGTCTGTTTCTGAAGAAATGCTTGAAATGATACATTTTGTATTGAAAATGTGCTCAGGAAAAATAAAGTTACAGTAATAATTGCCAAGGGCAGCCAGCCCCAAGTGATTACATATTCTTTTTACAAAATAAAAAGAAAATTTTTTTTTTCCATAGCAAAGGCCTGGTTTTTAAGTTTTACCCTTCTGTAATCATCAAGATTTATGAATGCCACTGAGACCTAAAACAAAGTACATTTAAGAATACTGCTTCAGTGCTTTTAATGGTATGAACATTTAAATACAGCATACAAAACCTCTGGAGTTTACATCAGTTTAGTGCAAGAGCTCTGTTGGACACATGTTCTTCTCAGATCAAGTTCATGTTACTCATTTAGAAGCCACACGCTTGAAACACCCACTTTGAAGTGAGCTGATGGAGCATCAAGTTTGGGGTACACCTACCCTCCTCTAAACACCAGCTACAGCTAAACTGCTGGAAGAATGTAAAGGAGCTTTACCTTAAATTGCCAACATGGGCAAACCCTATTTCTCCAACCCTGCAGCTCAGAGGATACTTCCATCACCAGAATTAATTTTTTTTGTTGTTCTAAGGTAAGAAGGGAGTGAAAGGGTACATTGTACAGCCCAGGCAAGGACGGGAAGGAGCATGGCTCAGGTAAAAGAACAAATATTTTGTGGCCATTTCCTCATGTATCCCGAATCCTGTAGGGGAAAATAAGTTTTGAGATTTGATTATTGGTTATCAAGTGATTTTACTGCCACACCACAGTCTGGGGAGGGGAGGAGGGGGGCAGAAGAGAAAGTCCTTCCTCCTCCACAGACTCCAGGGACCTCCCCAGCATAAAACAAGCCAGCAGAATATGGACCAAAGAATCTGGAAGCAGTTAAGCAGCTGGCTCATTATACTGGGAGAGTTTAAGTCTTAAGTAAGGTGGAGAGATCTAAGGGATGATAAACAAATAGCTATCAATCACATATCCTGCAGTCTGGGTAAATCCAACTGAAGAACCTCTTTAGACCTCACCAGCAGGATTTTAGTTTTTAGAGACAAAATGGATTTAGTGCTAGGTAATAAGAGATCAGCCTAATCGTACTTCCCTCCATACCTGCATTAGACATGTTCTTACTACTGGCCTAAAAATGTTTTTTTAAATCCAATACTGTTTTTACTATCTCCTTCCTATCCCCACTCAGGCACCAGGCTATTTATTTCAGATATATCCATTTTCCTAGTTCCTCATATTGTTGAGCACTCCTGAAGACAAAACCATTTAAAGCTACTTCAAAATTCTAAAAGACAACTTTGCCACAGTGCCAGTCATTCTACCTGAACTAAAAAGAAAGTTAAAAGGAAAGGATGTTTTCAAAGATAGAACCAGGCACATGTTGATTCCCAGCTTAGCTACAAACCACTGTTAATGCTTTTGTGTCCCAGCTTCCACCCGTAAAACTGTGGTTAAGTCTGCCCTGTTTCCCTCTTCCATGCGCTGTATTTTGGCTACAAATCCTCCCAGGCAAGGGCTACTCCATT